AGGGCATCTCCAACGCTGACAACCACCAGCATCCGTCTAGACCGTGCTATTCGGACCCATTTTTCCATCCAACGCGGTAAGCCATCAGTCCGTGGACCGGTCCGGATGTCCTTTTTCTCGCAAACCAAAAAATGTTAAAATTGCACTCAAATGTTAAATGTGTATAGAAAAAATATTGATCATGTATTCAAAAAATGTGAAACTTGTCTTCGAAAAATATCAAATGTGCATTGTAAAAATGCTGACCATGCATATTGAAAAAAAATATGAAACTTGTATTTGAAAAATGTTTAATGTGTATAGAAAAAATGTTGACCATGCATTAAAGAAGTTTTAAAGATGCATTTTAAAAATGTTGACCATATATTAAAATATATTAAAATTGTATTTGAAAAAACATTAATGTGTATAAAAAATGTTAGCCATGTATTAAAAAAAAGTTAAACTTGTATTTCAAATATGTTAATAAAGCATTTGAAAAGTAAAAATGTTAAATATGCATAGAAAAATGTTGAGCATGTACTAAAAATGTTAATTTGGTATTTAAATTTTTTTAATCAAGCATTTAAAAAAGTTAAACATGTGTTAGAAAAATGTATTAGATATATACCAAAAATGTATATGTAAAAATAGTGAAGCCCGCGAGTAAATAAAGAAAATTGTTAAAAAATGAGAAAGAAACAAACAAAGAAAGAAAAAACCAAGAAAGAAAAACCAAGAAAGAAATAAAGAAAACTGAAGAAAAACAATGAGAAAAGAAAGAAAAGAGGAAAACTAATAAAACCAGATAAAAAAGAAGAAGAAAACCCTGCGAAAAAAAACTAGAAAACAGAAGAAAAAACAGAAAACCGGTGGGAAAAGCACCTCCATTCGCATCATGTCTTGCCCTGACTAGTCATCATGAACTATGTGTGAGTGTAGTGGCTAGCAGCGCGGGTGATCTCCTCGTAGATCAGGGTTCAATCCCTGCAACTCCCACCTTTTCCTACTGTATTTATTTTAACAGTTTGTGAATGGGCCGGCCCGATAACGCTTCAGCGAGATACCGTACTATCTCACTGAATGCGAGATATAGTGACGACGCATTAATCATACCCTATCCCACCTCGGACCAAATCCTAGCCTCACTTCACTCGACCACTCTACTTCCCCGTCCTGTCTCCTCCCTAGCCTCTTCCCTCGCCACATTCTGTCTCCACCATGGCGGGATCAGTTAGTGGCTCCTCCTTTAAAGCTGACCCCGATGATGGGGACGCCCTCAACATGCAGTCGAACGAGGAGTTGGCCATCCATGTGGCCCTCCACGAGTCCTGGATAGATAGGGGCGGAATCTCAAGCTCTACGCCCTCCCCGGTGACCCACCGGGACTCCTCCAACTCCGTGCCTGATGGCGCCGGTTCGTCGCAGTCCACACCCGTCCCAGTTGCTCGTTGGGGCTCTTGAAGCTCCGGGATGTCACCTTCGACCCTTGCTCCTATCGGTTGGCGTTGAGTGTTGGTCCCGACACATCCAAGCCCACGATTGTGACTCCCTAGATCAAAGGCGCGGGCAGATCATCGCGTGAGGTAGGCGACTCTGGTTGGACTAGCGGCTCTATTTGTGGTTATTGCAAATCTGCACTGGTCCCCGCATCGTTCTTTGACCACGGCCGAGATGGATGCCTGCCGCCACCGCCACAAAAATGTGAAGGCATTGGGGGCTCGCCCTCCAGGAGTCTGAGTGCCTCGTGAAGGAGAAAGCGGCGGTCACTGCCAAAGGCCAAAGAAAGTAACCTCGCCAAGGAGCAGGCATGCGTCGCCTGACGTCTGGCAAAGCTCAACTCCTTGCCTGGCACCTTCGCAACTTCGATGGAGCTCTAGATGCCAACGCATATGGCGACCTTGACGCATACTATCATTGCTTCGTCGATGACAAGTGGAAGAGAAAGGCGAGGAAGTGGTGCAATTTATCCTTGTCTACTTGTATCTTGCATGTCTTAGTCGTGAATTATCTATGTTTTGAACTTGCTTGCTCAGTTGTATGATGAACTTGCTAAGTACGGTCGCTATGTTATATGTGAAATTTATATACGTTATGTTGATCTACGTTGCATGGGATTGTATGAAATTTTGGGGGTCGGAGGACAACTAAGAACATGCACAAATGAGAGGCAAGCTGACGTGATATATCCATGGATGCACCTGCAAACACATAGGATGTCAGGTTTGCTCAGCCCTGTTGGAGATGTTCTACAAGCAACTCTAGGAGTCACAGTATTGACAACCTTCATAATGTGTATGGAGCGCGTTCCATAAATATCATGGAGGCTACCGAGGCTACGCAAAAGTACAAAATTCAATTTCCTTTGTTTGAAAGTGACCCCGCGGGAGGGCATGCTTCGTCTGCTTCCACTTCAGGGATCATGCGTTACCGGATGTGTTGTGCACCCTTGATGCGGGCACAACTTTGTAGCCCTCCATGAGTGCGCCGTCCTTTTTGGCCAAGGCGGTCCTCATCATGTGGGGCAAGGTAGCAGTGCGCGATCGCTAGGCGCTCCGAGTGGATGCTAATTCATCATTATGGATTGTGTCCTCCTTGGCCCACTTGGAGTAACCCCACGCCCTCTCCCAGAGCATTCTCTTGGTGTGGCTATCGTAGGTAACGTCGGGAAAAGGTTTGTGAGGAGGGCTAGGCTGCTGTGACATGGCCGATGAGAGGTGAGTGTGGCAGCAAAGGCGAGGAGTGGCGCCGATGAAGTAGGAAGGAAGATGGGCGAGCAGTGGCTCTGCTGAGGGGGTTGGCTCAGTTTATATAATACGAATGGGCATACTCTGACAAGAAATGAGACCGGATTTTGTGCAAGCGAGTGTGAAATGGTTGTGAAACGCGGTAGGGACCATTAATGGGCGCTCTTCCCAATGGAAAACTGGTTGCACCATTGGTAGGAGTGGAAGCGGAAGTCATATGAACGGCTGCGCCGTTGCAAGGCTGGGCATGGGAGGAAGAGACGGGCTGAAACTTCCTCATGCACAAACGGTTGGGTTTGGAGGCCACCCCATATCAACACCCCTAGCCTCCAAACATGGAGGACCGCGAACTTGATTTGGAGTGTCCTCCAAAAAATATGCAGACCGAGGACGATATGACGACTTTGCTAGACAACCCTTTTCTGGTCGTGATCGTCATACTCTTATGGGGACTATTATGACGATCCAGATGATATGGAGCATCTGCTAGAGTTGCTCTAAGCATAGTGAAGAGGGATATGAGGAATAAAGTGAGTGGCTCAAGAGAGTGGTTGGGGTGGGACTAGAGGTGAGAAGGGGACGTGAGCAAAAACAAACCGGTAAGCTTGTCGTCCTAAACACCCTTCATTGACTTACAAGAAAAAAAAGCAAGTTAATCAATATTTTTATAATGTTAATAGGGCATGCATAGTTGAAAAAAAAATCTATTCCTGTCTAAGAAAAGAAAGTCCACATTCATTATTGTCATCATTGAGTGAAGTTTTCTATTCTCTCATTTTATGCAAGGACTGGCATAAATCTATTTTAGGCCCATAATAGCCAAGTGCCGAAGATTATGAGTACCCTATGTTTTTGTCGTCCAATTTTATGGTCTTTATGAGCCCGAACATCATAGCGATGATATAAGACTGAAGATAATCAAGCACTAACACTAATTATAACCATGAGTAGGGTTTTGGTGTGTTTGTGTTTTGACAAATTTGGAAAGGATTCCTCATCAAGAAGGTCAAACAAAAAATTCAAGCATCACAGATTAAATGTGAAATGCATACGCCAAAGGGCGGCAAGTTTGGCTTAGAGGCAGCTGTTTGGAAACATTCATCAAGAGGAAGAGAAACGGGAGGCATGGGGTAGGAACTAGAAGGATGAAGAGGGAGGGTGGTTGCAAGGAGATGAAGGGTGCAAAGGGGACAGTGGTGAGAAGGGAAACTAGCAGAAAAACAAGCCCTTGCAATCACTTCCAAGATGAAAACCAAGTTAAATAAAAGTTTCATCTCAACAAAAATTGAAACAAAAATTTCAAATATTAAGAAGAAATATAGTTGAAAAAGGTTGGACAAGGAACGTCCATACTCATTATCCTTGTTGAGTGGAGTTTTCATACTATCTTTGCTGATGGCAGTAGTGTCATGAATGTAATTTCAAGGCTCATAATGGCAAAAAAACCCGATCATCCTATGTGTTTATTGCCTTACCATTTTTATGTGTTTAAACACCACTCCATGCTACAATACTAAACATAGTCAAGCTCTAGAATCATGGCTGAATAAAGCTTTTGATTATTATAAAGAAAAGAGACAGATGTGCTCAGCATGTGATTTCTTTAACAAAATCAGGGGTTATCCCCATGCAAAGAAAAGGTTATTTAAAGTTGTATCTATACCCCTGATTTTTTAAAGATTTTCTATTGTACCAGATTGAAAGCCATTTTGACACAATCATAATAAAGTTGTGTTGACCTCAAAGTTTCATGTTGTATGATTTGTTGTTTGGATACACCCTCACTTAATTTTAGATATTTTTCTTGCACAAAAAAAAATCCATTGTGACAATAAAGTTGTCTCGCGCTGCAAAGAGATACTCAGTGTAGTCTCAAAAACGCTCTTATATTATGTGACAGAGGGGGAATAACATTTAGGTTCGTATCTACTTTTTACCACCTAGAAAAATCATGAATTGGTCGGAGAAAAGAAAAGAACATTTATGATTTTATATTCATATGTATTTGTTACCATCCTAGTTTTCTTGAGATTGTATAAATGATTTTCCAAGAATATTTCAATTATATTGCCACTAAAACCATGTGCAGAAATGGCGCTTTATGACAAATTTCCTCTGCCAAGAAGAACTATTTCCACTTCTGAGCTCTTTTTTTTTAGAAGTGCCATGTTTATATGTTAATAATATCAGCAGATTACAGCATACACGGCAGATCTGAGCATTTGACAACTTAGATATGCTAGCAAGAAGCACGCAAACTGAAGATAACCCACATTAGTCTGACTCTGAACTCTGAACCGATAGCAAACACTCCGTCCTGTAGACAGAGTGAAGCTGAGCCTTTGCATCGGGTAGCACGACGCAGTAGTTGAGCAGCACCTGAACCAAGCCAAACGGCCGAGCATCAAAGCCCGAGATCATCGTCTCGCCGCCGTCTCGGAGATCGTACCTCCAAGCAACATTGCCGCTCTCCGAGGCGAGGTACACGCATTCGCCGTCGACGGAAGGAAGCTCACTGGCGTTGACAGACACACACCTGCCGCCAAGGAAGAGCGCGTGGCGGCCGATGCTCCTCACGCGCTCCAGCGGCGCCTTCCGCTCCACGTCGACCCTGAAGACCTCCACGGCCCGCCGTCGCCGGAGGTGATACAGACGGACGAGCAGCAGATCCCCGCCGGACGCCACGAGAAAAGCTCGGCCGAAGCGACCGGTGTTCTCCGATGAAGGTACGGCCGAGACTATGAGTTTGGCGTGGCAGTGCTGGTTGTGCTGCGCCGACGGGACGACGAACCTGACAATCAGCCCGTCGCGGTCGGCCACGTAGACGTGTCCTCGGTAGGCGACCATGTTCTCTTGCTTCAAGCTGTGGAAGGGGCCGGCACCGACGTAGTATGGGAGCTGCACCGGCGAGAGTCGGGCGGCTGTCGGGTGCGCGCACGTGATAGCGTCGCTGTAGGGGTCGTGGTACAAGGAGAAGACAAGCGAGAGGGACCGATCGTCCTCGGAGCCGGTCACCGCTGCTCGCACCCGGTTCACGCGGGGTATGGCGGCGGCGAAGCGGACCAAGGAGCCCGTCAAAGGGTTGAGGACGCTGGCACGGTGCGGATACTTCTTGTCGCCCAGGACGAGGAGGCCGTCGGAGGCGGCGACGAGGACATGGTCCCGGAGCTGCGGGACGCGCCGGCGGAGCACGCGGCCGGTGGCCACGTTGAGGAAGAGGCGGACACCGCCCTCGTCATGGACCGGCTGCTCCACCTCGCCGTCGTCCAGCATGATCCAGTGCCGGGGACGGAAACGGAGGAGGCCAGCACCGCCGCATGGATCGGCCGTGGCCAGGCGCCAGCCGTGGCAGACGGCGCGCATGTGCATGTAGTAGTCGACGTCGCTTGCCGCGGCGAGCAGGCGGTCGGCGACGCTGCGGACGAGGTCCGACGGAAGAGCCGACCAGTCCGCCATGAGCGACCAACCGTGCGTGCGCCGATGCCGGGCGGCTCGTGTGTGGCTTGTGGCGTTTGGATAAGCACTGCCCATTTTATTCGGAGCGCGCGCACGCACGCATGCATACACGGAAGGCGAACTGCACGAGGCGCTTCGATTACCGGTGCGTGCCCTCGTTAATGGAGACTCTCAGAAGACGAGAAGACGGCGGTCGATGGGTTGCAGCAGTTAATGGACTCGGAAGACGAGCGGCCGGGAAGGTGTAGGTCGAACGATCGGTACCGTCTCGCAGACAGCAAAAGAGGGGCCGGTCGCCGAACACGATTCCCGGCCGCATGCATGGTGTTTGGGCTGGTTATAGTGGGAAGTAACTTAGACTAGTGTCATATGTATGACATTAGTCTAAATTACTATCTTCATAATGCAAAGTAACATGATAGTAGTGTTATAGATGGCTTCATTTATTATCTTGTGGATTTATCTTGGAGTTAATTGCACAGAAGTACCACAATTCGGGCATCACATGCAGATTGGTACCACGATTGCTAATTTTTACATGTCAGTACCAACATTGGTCCGGGTTTTTGCAAATTAGGCTAAACGCGTATTTATACGTATTGACAGTGTATCTGACTGTTGGGGCCCGTCTGTCAGGTGCCGACGTGGCATATTTTTTACAGAAAACCCCCTTGCTTTATACATAATCATATAAATACCCGTTATTTTTGCGGGAAAAATGTTAACGTGAGAGAATTTTTTTTTGCTCGGACTTGTTTGAAAGTTTCCAACGAACTGAACAAAAAAAATAAAGTAAACGAAAAATCGCCCGCGCCAGGTTTCGAACCTACGACCTACAGCACGCGGGCGTAGTCCTGCCTGACAGACGGGCCCCAACAGTCAGATACACTGTCAATACGTATAAATACGCGTTTTAGCCTAATTTGCAAAAACCCGGACCAATGTTGGTACTGACATGTAAAAATTAGCAATCGTGGTACCAATCTGCATGTGATGCCCGAATTGTGGTACTTCTGTGCAATTAACTCCTCATCTTGTTTTAGGAAGCGCTATGTTACAGTAACATATTATGTTAGCACCTCACATTAAATACTTGCCACATAAGCAAAAATTCCTTGGAGTGCGCTATATTACTTGCTAAGTTACTCCTACTATGACTAGCCAATCTCGGGGACGGCCGCTTGAAGATGCATGGTGTCAGTGGCAAGGCCATCTGGCGAGGCTTAGGATGGCCATATGTAACCATTTTAGCTACATGTAACTCGTCTGATTTTTCAATTTGGATAAGTCCATTTTCTAAGAGTTGACGTTTTTTATCAAGATCAGTGCTTTTGACTTGCCCCTGTTTGGGGCAAGTTGATTTTTTTTCTTAGGCTGGATGTTTGACTTGCCCCAATTTGGCAAGTCAATTATTTTAGGCTGAATCTTTGACTTGTCTTTGTTTGGGGTAAGTCAATGTGCCTATTGAACTTGAAGTCTGTTACACATTGCCTGTTTTTTTATGGGTTTTGTTTTTGCCTTTTCTTTTTATATTTTTTGTCGGTATTTGTTTTTTACATATGTATTTTTTCATTACTTTAGCTATATATATGTAAGTTGCCTGAAAATTGATTTTGAGTCAGTTGATTTTTTTCCTGTCAATTTCTACTTTGATTTTTGTACTCCTGGGTTGTTTTTTTACCGATCACACATTTGCTTTAGTCAATTCCTTAACAGGTAGAAACCAATTACCTGTGCGACCCAGGCACCCAGCCCTTCCATCTATCCCTTGGTTATCTTATGTTTTTATTTGTTTTTTGTTTTTCTTATATTAGTCATTTTTTCCTATTGTGGATATTTTTGGATGTTGGAGGACTGAGCTGGAGATTGAGGGATGGGAACGGCGCCGGTGTGCGGGTTTGGGGTCATACGCCGCGTCGGCGGCATACAGGGCAACGGAGGTGGCGATGTGGAGCCTAGAGGGATTCATTTGGGTGGAGTGCTCCCTTCGGGTAAGCAAAAAATCTAGAGACGGGAGGAGGTGGTATCGGTTCCGAAAAAACCATGCATGGAGGGGTGGTGGTGGGAACCGAGGCAAAAATAAACCGTGCGTACCGGACTACCAACTCCACTTTTCATGGAGGCACATATTTGTTTCCGCCTGTGCCTCTCGGAAATAAAAAAATACCGTGTTTCTTTTATATATTTTTTGCTTCTACAAGAGGCACAGATTTGTTTCCGTGATGTACCTCTCGCAAAAAAAGTGTTTTTTTTTTTTGCTTTCATGGGAGACACAAATTTGCTTCTCATGGAGCCACAGATTTACTTTCTTGAGAGGCACAACTCAAAAAGGAAAAAAATATGTTTTTTTGCATTCGCGGGAAGCATAGATGTACTTATAGTGGAGGTGCAAATTTGCTTTCGTGACCACATCTCTTGGAAAGGAAAAAAAGAAGAAAAAGTGCTTCTGGCTCGAGTTTTAAAAAAAGTTCACCGAAACCTATTAACATCAGATCTAGTTTCAAAGTTCTGGACACGAGAAATCTAATGATAAAAATGATTCGTGATTTGGACGCTCGACTTAAGAGATAAAATATTTTTACTAATCAAATTTAAGAAAAAAGGAAAAACTCATACGTTGCAACAAGTGACAATACAGTGCGCCCCATATCACCCCATGAGAAAGTGAGAGTGACCTTTGTATGGGGCACCCCTTACTTACTGATCTCGGATGACTCTATACTCGCTTGTGAATTGTGATAGTTCG